CTGACTCCAATAGCTATGTTTAAAAGTTTTCATGCTGGAAAAGTTGGATGATTTATAGAACGAAGTCTAAAGGCCTTAGCTTAGGATTCCAGAAAATGTCGAAACGAGGCAGCTCGTGAGCCGGCCAGTCTGAGTTCAAACCCTGCTTCTGGCTTTCACTGTGTGGTTTTGGCTAAATTACTTCAAGGCGCCAGAATTCCCACGTCTGCAATGGAGGGAAGTTACAGTGCCTCTCTCGTAGGATTATGTCAGGGTTTAGGGAAGTTCCCAGGCATATAGAAATGTTTACTACCCCCGCCCTGGCCAGTTTAGCTCAGTGGATAGAGCGTCAGCCTGCTGACTGAAGGGTCCTGGATTTGATTCCTGGTCAGGGCACATGCCTGGGGTTGCAGGCTTGGTCCCCAGTAGGGGGCGTGCAGGAGGCAGTTGATCAATGATTCTCATCATGGATGTTTCTATCCCTTCCTCTTCCGTCCTCTCTGAAATCAATACAAATATATTTTAAAAAATGTTTACTACTATGAATGCCAGTACTAGAGTCATGATCGATGTTGTGTCATTATTCTACAACCTGGCCCCTGCCTACCTCTCAATGCTACTTTCTTTTTTTTTTTTTTAAATATATTTTATTGATTTTTTACAGAGAGGAAGGGAGAGAGATAGAGAGTGAGAAACATCGATGAAACGTCGATCAGCTGCCTCCTGCACATCTCCTACTGGGGATGTGCCCGCAACCCAGGTACATGCCCTTGACCGGAATTGAACCCGGGACCTTTCAGTCCGCAGGCCGACGCTCTATCCACTGAGCCAAACCGGTTTCGGCAATGCTACTTTCTGTTCTATGCAAGCCCCGGGCAAACTAAGCTGCTCACCGCCCCCTGCATACACTGCGGGGCTCTGCCTTCTTCCTGCTGCCTTTGCTGTGCGTAGTCTGAGTAACCACTTGGAGGGGATGTTGGAAAGGCAAACGCAATCCCCAGAAAGGAACTGAGTTGAATGCAAGTTCCTTTCGCTCTGAGATTCCATCAGATCAACAAAGCGGGCAGGAAATTTAGCAGCACAACATTCGACATTCTCAAAAGTGATCTTTGACTCCTATCATCCTCCACTCATTTTTATTTTATTTTATTTTTAAAGTATATTTTTTTTATTGATTTCAGAGAGGAAGGGAGAGAGGAGAGAAAGAAACATCAATGATGAGAGAGAATCATGGATCGGCTACCTCCTGCACACCCCCTCCTGGGGATCAAGCCCGCAACCCGGCATGTGCCCTTGACTGGAATCCAACCTGGGACCCTTGTCGGCAGGCCGACGCTCTATCCACTGAGCCACACTGGCTAGGGCCATCCTCCACTGAGGGAGCCTTATTTTCCAGCGCTCTGAGCCCACCATGGGGATCCTGGACAAGACATTTCAGCTGAATGTGAGGCAGGGATGGGCTGCGATGGAAGGACGCACGCTTGCTTGGCAGACAGACCTGGGGGCTTGATCTCCAGCAAGTTGCTTAAATTCTCCGAGCAGTTTCTCCAGCAGTAAAATGGGGATTCAGTTCCCACTGGAAAGGCTAAGAATTGAATTAGATGTTGTGTACAGAGCGGCCACCGTCCCTGTCCTTTCCTTTCCCTGTGGTTAAGGGGGCATTCAGGCTATGTCTTCAATGGAATTTAGATGAACACATGGGGATTGTGGGGCCACGGGGGAAGGTGGGTTGCAGGCAGGTTGGGGCAGATGGCAGGAGGCCTTGAAATGCAAACAAAGGGCCCTAGCCGGTTTGGCTCAGTGGATAGAGCGTCAGCCTGCAGACTGAAGGGTCCCGGGATCTATTCCGGTCAAGGGCACATGCCCACATTGCTGGCTGGATCTCCAGTAAGGGGCATGCAGGAGGCAGCCGATCAGTAATTCTCTCTCATCACTGATGTTTCTCTCTCTCCCTCCCCTTCCTCTCTGAAATCAATCAAAATATCTTTTTTTTAAGAAAAGGGACCTGGGCTTGAGAAAGCAGAGTTAGGGGCCTGGCTCTTGTCACCCCTCCTCTGTGCCTCCTCCTCTTCCTTCTCTCCTCTGGCCAGCGCTCTGCGCAGCGCGTAACAGGTTAAAAATAACAGGACTGATCTTCATGAACTCAGACTAACACTGGAAATGGCTGCAGAGCAGTCCCAGGCCCACCCTGGAAAGAAAAGGAAAGACAGTGTGCCCTGAACGGCTTCCTGGTTCCACCGGGCACAGGCGTAGGGGGGAGGGGGGAGGGCACCCGCCCATGCCGGCCCGGAGATGAGGAAGGCAGGGCTGGTATGGGGTGGGCTCTTTCCTCATCTCTTCCCGGGGCGCCCCGGCACCCCGAAGTTCTTTTGCGCCTGTGGGCCTCTGTGCTTTCCATTGGGATGGGAGGCCCGCACCTCCACTATGGGTGTGCCCAGCACAGTCCCCACTTATCAATGGTAGCTTCTGGAAGCAGGACTTGTCTCTGCTGAAACGTCGGTACTGAGAGGATCCTGATGTGGGCAGGAAAGCACGGTGGCTGGGGCCACAGGTTCAGAGCTGGGGGAACGGAGTGCCAAGACCTTTCTCGCTTAAGCAAGTCAGTTCAGTATAATACATAACTGCTCACGGAGCAACTTCTGTTTCCTGGGCACAGCCGCCCTCGGGGGCGCAGGGTGAAGACCTGTATGTACTCTTAGCATAAGGAAGAGAGGGTAGCCACCGGCCAGGTTAGCAGACAATGGACCTCTAAGCCTCAGTTTCCCCGTCTGCGGGAGAGGCGCAGGTGTGAAAGGCCCAAACAAATGCAGAGCACATCCTACAATGTCTGCCTCTTAAAGCGAAGGGAGCTGTTTTTTATTTGCTGGGAAACTAGCGAAAGAGCTCATTGGTACTAGTTTGTGAGGAATAGCTAATATGAAAACATCTTTTAAAAAACTAAAAACATCTTACATGTTTACTTCATGCCCAACATAAAAATCTTTTTTTTTGGTCATTTTTTTTTAACCTTTGATCCTAGGAAGAAGAAGAAGACAATGTGTGGACTGTCAGGCCCAGGCCTAAGCATTGAGGCCTCCACACAACCCTGTGAGGCGGGTAGTGAAATGAACCCCTTTGACAAATGAGGCCCGTCAGGCATAGAAAAATCGATGAACGTGGCCGGGGTCACGCAACACTTAAGAATATTCCCTGAGTTTGTATTTCCTTTCAGCTGCCTCACCGGCTCCTTTTCATTGTCTCTGGGTCCACGCAGTAGGCCTCCCTCCCTGGCCCTTCCTCTGTCTACCCCCTGCCGTCTTCCCCTCAGTATCCAAACACCGTGACCTTGAGGGGCTGCTTGCTACCAAACTAGAGAAGCCCCTGGGCCTTTAGCAACGTCTACTCCTCCATCTTCCTTAGAGGCAGCGCTTGGGCAAGGCCTGGAGGAGCAGCAACGAGCTGGTGGCGGTATCTTTGTCATGGGCGAGCTGGGGAGGAAAGCAGTGACTCTTGATGGCCTTGGGGCGAGGGGGAGAGAGTTCCAGAACCTACAGAAATGGTGTGGGCCTGCCCTGGGGCAGCTGCCAGGGAAACCGGCCAGAAACGCACCCTGTGTGACCTTGACTGAGTTTTCGCAGCGAAGTGGCCGGCAGCGGGGCAGAGTCAGGGGTCCTGGAGCCAGAGACGTGACATCCTGTGTCTGCACGGAAGGGCTGGCCGCCCCCCTTCCGAGAGCAGCCGCCCACCCGAGCGTGAACTGGGGAGCCAGACTGTCAGTCTGCCCCTCCCATGTCCCCCAAGAAGAAGGAAGTCCAGGGACAAAGAAATGGGGAAGTCCCCGCCGCCCTGCCTGGTTTTAAGGGTCCATACAACAGTGGACCCCCGTCCCCTTGAAGACCAAGCCTCGACCATAAACATGATTAGCAAGGATTTGGGGGAAATGCTCCTTCGGGGCACAGAAAAGTATTCGGGGCACTTTTCTGCATTTCCAGGCAGCCTCAAGGAGGCCTTTTCCAACCCGCAGGCCTTTTTTCTGGCCTAGCTCTTTGCAGGCGCAGGGCGTGGTACCTGTCACTCGTTTCAGCAGCCAGGGGGTCAGTCGTGCAGAATCAGGTGCCATTTTGAAAACTGCTCCTGGCTGCCTACATTTCCGGGTGTAACTCCCAGGCGCACCTCGAAAATGTCTTGTGCTGCAAAAGCCTCCCTTCAAAATACAGAGTTCAATTTTTCAGGCTTGAGAAAGAAATGCGATTGCTCATGTTTGGCATTTGACGCAGGCCCCCTTTAGCGATCGCTTGTATAATTTGGGAAAATGAGGGGCAGGAAAGTAAAAGACCCTCCTTGCCGTCAAGCTGCAAGTTCATAGCACAGCTTGAACTTGACTTATTTTTCTAAGGGAGTGGCGGTCAACTCTATAAACTCCAGATACATGGAACTCAAAGCAGCAAATATTGCTGTTACTTGGTTTGGGTGCACGCAAAAATGACAGCGATGGGAGAAATATGCATGTCGCTGTGGAGAAATGTTTTAAAATCACTTTATGGTGCTTTACCTCCCTCCCGAGTCACGGAGACCGACGTCCATGAGACAAAGAGGGCCGGGTGGGGCCCGATGCCCTCCGCCGGCCTGAGAGCTGAGTCACACGAATCGCTCCCCGCAGTGGGCGAGGCCCCCCTGCGAGGTCACAGCGCACCCTCGCTCGGCGATGGCTCCATCGGACAAAGCCAGATTCGCAGGGAAGGAATGCCTGCCCCCCTAGGTACCCCTCAGGCTCTTAGGTATCCTGCTCTGGTCCCCAAGACCAGGCTCGCGGGCTGTTGCAAAAATCCATGATGGCAAAACAGACATAAAAGGGGGAAAGCGCGTTAGGAGGGCGTGTTGGAGGCTGGGGGTTGGGGTGGGGGTTCTCGTCTTATTTTTCCACCCTCATTGCGGTTAGGGTGCATTGGTGGACGCGGGTGGGGCCCCCCCAAACGCCACGTAGGGCCCCCGGACGCCGACTGGGACCCCGGGCGCGAAGGAGTTAAGCCGACGCGCGGTGACATCACCTCATTTGCATAGGAGCGCGCATAAAAGGGGGCCCGCCGCCCCCGCCCGGCACTCGGCTGCCGTCCCTGAGCAGATCGACTTCTCTCGTTCGCGCACCTCGCTCGGGTGAGCCCTGGGGCCCCTCTCTCCCGCGCTTGGGTGGGTCCCCTTCCCTCCCCGCATCCCTGCTGCGGCACCCCGAAAGCCCAGCCCCAGCGGCCCTCCCGGGGAAGGGCTGCCTCGGGGAGCTGGGCAATGTCAAATCCTTCCAGATGCCGGGTAACGGGGCGATTTTTTTTTAAAAAAAGAAAGATTAACCTGGCGTTTTGTTAGGCAGCTACCAGGGAGCAGGCTTTCCCTTCTTCCTCCCCGGGAAGGCTTTCTGCGTTGCCTCTTAGGCAGAGACAGATCAGGAACAGAAAGCCCCTTTGTTCCAACTCACACCCACCCGCCCGGGCTGCGACAATTGCAGTTCCCCGCCAGCCTCGGGGGGCTCCGTGGGCTGCATCTGGCCAGGTTGAGGGCGCCCGGGCAGCATGGAAAGCCCTCCTTGCAGGGGAATGCGTGCCCGAGGCTGCCCCCCCGCCCCGGGTTACAGATGGGGCGGATTTATGGGTGCGGGCAGCTTTGTGCGGCGCCCGCATTGTTGCGCGCCAGCGAGGCAGCGGGCAGGGCGGTGGTCGGCGCCGCAGCAGCTGCCGCCGCCTAAGAGACAAAAGAAAGCGGCGCGTTTGCAGGGCGAGAGAGCACTCCGAGGGAATGCAAACGATGTGTGCAGCCCTGGCTCCATTTGAAGGCTTTTTCGCTCGCTTTTCTCCCCCCATAAACGCACCCCGAGCCAGATGGTGATGGGGAAGCGCTGCAGTGAAACCCGCAGCGCCCCAGCGGTCTTCCCAGCCCGGCGCCCCGCGTCTCGAGAGATTGAAACGGGGTGGGGGGGCTCTTTTCTGTAGAGAGAAAGGTCTCTGGCTGCGAATGGACGCGGGAGGAGGCGGAGGTGGGGTTTCAGGCGTGAGATGCGAGGGTCAAAGCGCACTTCTGAGCTTGGAGCGGGGAGGCCGAGCGGGAGAACGAGCAGCTCCGCGCTCACCCTCCCTCCTCGCTTTGTATCTGCAGCTTCCTCTGCAACCATGTCTGATAAACCCGATATGGCTGAGATTGAGAAATTCGATAAGTCGAAACTGAAGAAGACAGAAACGCAAGAGAAAAATCCACTGCCTTCAAAAGAAAGTAAGCTCAACACCCCCCCCTCCCCTCTTCCCCCCTCCCCCCTTCTTAAGAAAAGGCTGAGCGGGAGGGGCGGTGGGGAGGAGGGAGGATGGGAGGGGCGGGGGGGGATTGATGGGGGGGAGGGAGGGTGGGGCCAGAGCCGACAGTTGATGAATGTGGCCTGGAAAGGGTACTTAAAAATGGTCCTGCAGCTTTAATAACTCAATGAAGGAATGTTTAATATGCCATAGTCATAGGCGCAGGCTTTTATCTGTCTAATGTTCCTATTGAATAAAAGCCTTCGTGATGAAGTGCCTCTCGGTACTTGTAGCGTTTTTATCAGTCGGAAAGATATTTTAAACGAACACTGGTCTTCTATACTAGGCGCCACCGGATCCGCATAACTGACCGCCTCCGTCTTTTTTTTCCTTTTTCTCTCCAATCACAGCGATTGAACAGGAGAAGCAAGCAGGCGAATCGTAATGAGGCACGCGCCGCCCATATGCACTGTACATTCCACAAGCATTGCCTTCTTATTTTACTTCTTTTAGCTGTTTAACTTTGTAAGATGCAAAGAGGTTGGATCAGTTTAAGTGACTGTGCTGCCCCTTTTCACATCAGAACTACTGACAACGAAGGCCGCACCTGCCGCTCCCATCTGCCTGGCTGGCTGGCGGGGAAGGGAGACAGCTTGCATGTTGGTGAAGGAGGGAGCTGGATGGGACGAGGGTGAAATCTAGAGTTAAAACCAAGCTGGTCCAAGGGGTCCTGCGGGCTGTAAAATGCAGTTTAATCAGAGTGCCATTTTTTTTTTGTTCAAATGATTTTAATTATTGGAATGCACAATTTTTTTAATATGCAAATAAAAAGTTTTAAAACCTGGCTGGTGTGACGTGTGTGGTGTCTGGAGGAGCGCCTGATTCGCGGCGGAACCCTTTGGGAAAGGGTCTCCCTGGGGAGCGATAAATGAGGAACATCTGGTAAAAGGGGTTTCACGCTGGGGTGTGTGCTAGGTAACCCGGGAGGTCATTTTCTTAGGGTTGAGTTCCTAGCATGAATTATATAAAAACAGATAAAGATACATTTGTAGTTCTTTATAGACTGACAAGTCAATGCTGAATCGTACCTGATTGAAAAAAAAAAAGATAATTCACAGCACAATGTCTTAGGTGTGAAACCAGACTCGGCTAGTGAGCGGATTACCAACACGGACACAACAGGATTTACGCATTCCCGTCCGTTAGGGAAAATACATTTTTAACAGCTGTTTTGTCAAAGGATTCCACACACGTTTTTCCTCATCCAATGGGTTCTAATTAGAGTTCAATATTTAAAACTGCTTTTAGAAAATAAGTGCACTTACAATGAATAGGATTTTCAAATTCTCACATAATAAAGCCGTTGGATGAAGCCAGGGTTGAAACTGGTGCCACGTTTAAGTCCAGTAGGACTGCATTGGCTCATCTCCAGGGTTTCTTGAGTCCAGAACTTCTCAATCACTTTGAAGTGCCTATTTGAACTAGTGGCTTTGGGGGAAAAGCCAAGCTCTCTGTGGGCATTTAGTGTACGGAAAGGGAGCTAGGGGATCAGTATTCAGTGGGAACATTTAGGGAGAGTCGTTTCCCCAATATCTCCGCAAAGCTAAGGTTCCCAGCGCAAGCGTCCAAGAAGTTCAACTCGCTCCCCGCCCCCCCAAAAAAAACCCTGACTTATGAAAACCTCCTTATTGAAGGAGAGGTGGCGGGCAATTGTTGATCATTATTAAGCAGGTCCATTTCCTTTCCTTTGCTCAACACTTATTTTGAGAAATGCACAGGAAACCATTCACCTGTGGTTGTGACAAGCAACCGCAGCAGCAGCAGCTAGAAGCCTTTATCTGCATTGCAAGGGAGGGGACGTGTACCCGAGGCTACAAAACCCGACGGGCCACAGCTGCGCAGTGAGCGCAGAGGTCTGGAGCCGGCCCTCCGGCCCTGCGTTTTTTTTCCTGCTGCAAGGAAGGGCGTGGGCAGATGGAGCGTGCCCCAGGCACAAAGAGACACCAGGCCGGCCTTTCGCTGTGTGCACTTCTCAAACAATGCAAAGATGAAGGAGGATTTGAGATGAACACGGCTCCAGGGCTCCCCCTTTTAAAACGAAAAAAATGAGCATTAAGGGGGAAGGGGTGATCTTTGAAGTCCAGGGATGGATGGAAGAGGAGTCCTTTCTCTCCTGGGAGGTCAAAGCTAACATGGAGGGAGGAAAAAAAGTGAAATGAACAATCTGGTAACGATTGCATTTTGGCTGCTTCGTGCGCGTGGGCAGGGCCAATTCAGAAGCCTCTGCACATACCGCCCTGAACTGCGTGGGGATGGGGGTGGGGGAGGCTACTCTTTATTTTATTTTAATTTGATGGGGGAAGGGAAGTCTGTTTTCTTCCCAGGAGAGAACCTTCCCAGAAGGGCCGGGGTATTTCTGAGCCAGTCGGGGCTTTTACGCTGCTACTTAGGAGATAGTGTTTGAAAGGATGTCTTTCTCCCCGATACCAGGGGACCTGCGGTTCACCATTCGAATGGGGGATCGTCTCAAACGAAGGAGCCCCTGGACCCCCACATCTTTGAGTCCCTCTGCAGCCCCAGGAGGCAACAGGCCAAGGGAGGTGAAGTAAGAGCTGAAGGCCCCAGGGTCCTGCCTGGGACTTCTGCAAATTTTGAACCGACAGACTTAATAACGCAAAATAGGGGAAGCAAGAGGCCCAGCAAAGGCTCCCAGGGCAGACTCACTCTTTCCTAAATCCCACAGATTCCTCAACCATCGCAGCCACGCTTGCAGCCCCCAAAGGACGGCATTTTAAAGCTACACGATTCTTCCAGAACAACACAGCTCTTGGGCTGCGCGTGCCAGGAGGGGGTGTATGCGGTGGGGGTTGCCTGTGTAGGGGAGAGGGGGCATGCAAAGTCCTAATGACCCCCGAGCCTCGCCCCGTCCAGGGCCTCTTCCAGCGCTGGCCTCCTCCCACACCCTGGGATTAGATACTCTCCTTTAAATGCACCAGGGAGATCAGTGGATTTCCCTAAAGAAGCATCTAACTCCCCGAGACACAAAAAAGAACTTTCGATTCTTTCTCAATGTATGGGGCCAGTTTTCTGCTTACCAGAAAGACAGCGGGTTTTGAAACCAACATCACGGTCCCCCAAATAAAGAACTCTTCCGCCTTTCTTAGCTCAAGAATGTGAATGGAAAACATACCGCTTCATACCGTTGAAAGCACTTAGAGCTTGATTTACCCGAGTAACACCTTCCCGGGCCTAACAAGAGAGAAAGAAAATTACCCTCCCCCACCCCCCATTTCTCACTTTTAAGAGAGACTGACACCGCAATCTAGGAGAATTAAACACCAATTTGAGGTTCAACTGTATTTTATTTGCATGTAATGAGAAGAGGCTAAATTACAAATGTAAGACACAGATGTGCAGGGAAGTAAGCGAAGGAGAAAATACGTTTCGGAGACGTCTAGTTACCTGGCTGGTTTTTAACTCTTATCTCTCTAGTCACATTGCTAGCGCCATGCCTACTCGGTTTCTGAGACTTTTGTGGGCAGGGGCTGCGACCTCTACGTTCATATTCGTATATTCTCTTATGTCCAGTAGTGGCTTCCACATACACCTTCCCCCCTTCATTGTTGGAGATGCTACTTAACATGGCGTTTTGGGGTAACCATCGAATACGTGAGTGTCCTGTGAGACACCACTATTTTAAATATATTTTTACAAACATTTAAAGAGCTTTGAATGCTCATTTGCCACTGTCCCCGGTTGTGCTGATTTTGAGTCAATGCTTATAGCCAACTACATGTTATTGAGCTCGTGCACTAGGTCATTAAACACCCCCACCAATATGTATTAATTGTGTAATGCCTGCCCGGTGTTTTATTCGCCACAGAGATACAGTTGTAAATAAGACATAGCTCCAGCCCTCACGTGTCTTTCTTGGTTAAAGGTGCTTTTTTCATCTGAATCTGAGAGGAAAATGCTAAGACGTTATTGTTTCCCATTTTTAGGGTGAATCCTGAACCGAAGGCAGTGGTTCTTCACCTTGGCTGCACATTAGAATCACCTGGGAATCTTTTTAAAATCCTGATTTCTGGAACTCATCCTCCATTTGTTACTAATGTTGTGGCCTCACCCCATCACAAAGAAACAGAATTTCCGGAGGATGAGGCCCAGGAATCAGGATTTTAAAAAGATTCCCAGGTGATTCTCATGTGCAGCCACGGTTGAGAGCCACTAACCTAAGGGCTGTGGACTTCTCCCAAAATGTATCGAGAATGATCACCTTCTGATTCCTCGAAAAGGTCAATGGAGAGTGAAATTTGATGGAAAAGAACTGACTCTTTGAACCACAATCAAATATGTTAGCAGCATGGGAAGGTCGGTGGAATAGCTCTTGCCTGTTCTCTTTTGATAACCCTCTAGGAGGCATGCCCAAGAGGTAGGATATGATTTTAAAATCGATGTTCTTCTAGGTTTTGATGAGGTAGATGCTGAATTTCCAGAGAAACACTTCATCTTGCTAAACCCTTACCCTCCGTCAGCCATCTTTGTCCTATTTGACTGTTGAAATCCCTCAGCGGACGAAGCGCAATGATGACCACGTGAGGCTAGCCCAGTGGTTCTCAACCTTCTGGCCCTTTAAATACAGTTCCTCATGTTGTGGCCCAACCATAAAATTATTGTCGTTGCTACTTCCTAACTGTCATGTTGCTACTGTTAGGAATCGTCATGGAAATATCTGATCTGCAGGATGGTCTTAGGCGACCCCTGTGAAAGGGTCGTTCGACCGCCAAAGGGGTCGCGACCCACAGGTTGAGAACCGCTGGCTAGCCATAAGTGTAGCACCTCGCCGGCTGGCAGCTGGGTCACATCTGTGTAGCAGGATCCCACAGCTTTGAGCTTCCACAGGGCGGGACGAGCTCTGCTCGAGATCTATTGAGAGCGTCGGGAGCTATTCCTGTGTCATTATTGTCAAACCACAGGAAATTAGGCCTTTCCTCATCACCACACTCGGCTCTGCCGGTGGCTGATACCCGCTGGCTCCTCAGAGGCCTTGAGATAGTGTTGTCCCAATCTCGAAACAAAACTATTGCCTAAGATGAAATATATATACAGTACAGCATCCTGTCTGCATATCGAGTGCCCTCCAGTTAGCTCAGTGGTTCTCAACCTTCCTGATGCCGTGACCTCATGTTGTGGTGACCCCCAACCATAAAATTATTTTCGTGGCTACTTCCTAACTGTCATGTTGCTACTGTTATGAATCGTCATGTAAATATCTGATCTGCAGGATGGATTTTCATGGTTACACATGGAACATAATGAAAGCAGAGTGATTCATCACAAAAACAATATGGAATTATAGATGCGTTTTCTGATGGTCTTCGGCGACCCCTGTGAAAGGGTCGTTCGACCCCCAAAGGGGTCGCGACCCACAGGTTGAGAACCGCTGAGTTAGCTCAACCTGGAGTCATGGCTTGCGTGGAGGGTGCAAAGACTCATTTTTTATTCACTCCTGGTTGCCGGGAAGAGACATGAGTCAGCTTGGGCCGGTGGGAGAGGCGGACCCGTGTGAATGACTAGCCGTGGACGGCGTGAGCCAATGAGCCACACATCTGCTCGCCTACCCAGCGGCTCTTCACTGAGGCCTGTTTTCACGGGCGCATGCATCGTGGGGGGAGAGAGACTGGAAGCAGATGTGAAGGGCCCCGCCGCCTGACTCAGGGGTTTGAAAGTCACCTTCCGGCACTCGGGAGCTATCAGAAGTGCCATCGCTGAGCCCAGGGGAGGCAGCCTGGAGACTTCCTGTTCAGAATGCAGCTGCATGGAGCGAAGGGCGAAGTAGAAGCT